TCTTTAATCACTGGTTTTAGTTTATTAGAACAGAACACATAACAACACAGAACACACAGAACAACCCCAATTTATATACAGTTTGGAACTGGCTAACCCACATCCCTAGAACAGTAAGGTCCAATCATAAGTGAGTGCTTAGGACCAATAGGGTTTGTTCCCGCCGAAAGTCATATTCTTCCCTGATTGGTCCATTGCAGAACGGCAGCAAATCAGGCTGTTGATTTCAGGAAACTGAGAGTCTATGGAGCTTGTGACTGAAACTCAGGCTCATTCTACAATTCAGGGTTTTCATATAACACAGTATATAACAATTTTCTTCAGGGGAACTGATCTCTGTAGTCTGGAGTTGAGCTATAATTCCAGGGGATCCCCAGTTCCTTCCTGGAGGCTGGCATCCCTAAATGCAAATATAGGAGATTGATTTTTATATAGCTCAAGAAGGCACGGATGAATAATGAAAGCCTCCAAGTCACTGAAAAGTTTTGATGTTTCTGAATGTTTTCCTTTTAAAACTATATTTCTCTGCCACTATTAAAGGGTCATATCTTTAATAATCTCTGAGGGGTTCTCACTGAAAGAGAAGAGGGGTTTTGTTTCCACCAGTCCAATGCATTTGATAAATGTGGTAAAATACCATGACTTTTCTTAAAATGTAATCTGACACAGCAGAATTTAACCAGGTTGTATCCAGTTCTTATAAAGTAGAGGTTAGCTGAGAGAGATTTTATGTGAAGCTTTTCTCCATCTCTGTCTCCCCCATCTCTGCTATGGATCCACAAGGGTTGAGCTGACACTAAATATTATGAAAATACAAAGTTTATTCAGGTGTACACATTTTAAAACTTAGACTCATTAAAAATATACCATTCAGACATAAAAAAACTTCTCAACATTCATACATAGATGGGTTAGTGCTGTGCAACTGAACCAAACGCGTTTCGGCCCCCTAAAGGGCCTTCTTCAGTGGTCACAATTCCAATTACAAGTTTGTCATACATTCAAAAAATTTTTTTAACATAAGATGTTCAATACATATGCAGTATAAGGCCAGATGTTGTTTCCTAAATGCTTATGTATTTGTTTATTATTATATAAGATAGGCCTCCGGTCTAGCCTGTTAAAGTCCACCAATAATTCTGGTAGCACAAACTTGCGTGAGTTGAATGTATGTCACTCCAAGCACTTTGGAAAGCGGCAGGGCAAAGAGTGGTGACAGGAAGGCTGGAAAAGTGCCCATCCCCCTTGATGAAGGCCAGGGCTAGACTTAAACATATGGGTCCACTGCTGAGATTTCTAGTTGGATTGCCACTTTGTAATGGGATTGTTTCAAGAGTCCTCCGATGGTGGCTTTATAGTTTACACTGAGCTACAGATGTTCATGAGGCCTGTTGTTGCAGCCTGATTTGAGTTTTTGGGACTGCGATCATACACACAATTAGACCCAACATAGGTGCAAATGCTGGGTGGATTTAAAGGGCGCAATCAGACAACAACATCTGGGAAGCACCCCGCAGCCGTCAGCAACCCGTTCTGATCCACTGCAGAAGCAGAGTTAAAAGACACCAGGGAAAATCCAGTAGTAAACGGGTTAAGCGCATGGGAAACAAACGGCACAAAAAAACCCCGACTCACCCGCAGTTGCGTCTAATCACACACTGACGGACTGCACCCACAGCTTCAAAGGGGTGTGTGGAACTGCAGATCAAATTCCTCTGGAGGAAATAGCCTTGCTATTTCCCATTTTATCTGGTGCGTGTGACTGCACCCTGGGTTAGGCTATCTTTTTTTTTTGCTTGTTATCAATTTTCATCTAATCTGTTTTTATTGGTGATCTCTTGTTGACCCTTGTATTTTATGTATGTTTAATTTAATGATAGATGGTAATTCCTTTGTTCATAAGCAATACATTTTATTACTACTTTAAAAATGGCAATAACTTGACCTTTATGTGAATGGCATTTCAGAATATTGCTTCTGATTTCATGTGTGTTAATTTTTCAGAGGAGAAGCAAATGGTGAAAGCCAACAGCTGTGAGTATAACCACTAGTTTCACTATGGGGTGAGTACATTAATGTTCTAACAGTGAGGACCCTGCACGGTATTCTCACTGGGTTTTCTGGAGAGCTCACAACTATATGATTAAAAGTGTTTAGAACAAATGCATTTTTGAGGGTTATTCTACCATTTCTGTGACAGTCTTCTAGTGCACATGGCTGCATTCCTTCGGTTTATCCTCATTACAACCCTGTGTGGTTGGTTAGTCAAAGAAAGTGAGCGAATTTCATGGTTAAGAGGGATAGGAACTCAAGCCATAGTCCTATGCTCTAACTAATGTTCAGCACTAAACGGTGTGGAGGTTGTCTAGGAAGAAGAGGAGAAGAAGAAGAGATTGGATTTATACCCTCCCCTTCACTACCCGAAGGAGTCTTAGAGCGTCTCACAATCTCCTTTCCCTTCACCTCCCCACAACGGACACTCTGTGAGGTAGGTGGGGTTGAGAGAGCTCTTTCGAGAACTGCTCCTGAGAGAACAGTTCTGAATGAACTTGTAACTGACCCAAGGTAACACCAGCAGCTGCATTTGGAGGAGTGGGGAATCAAACCTGGTTCTCCCAGTTTAGCGTCCACACTCCTAACCACTACACCAAACTGTGGGGAGTGGGAGAACAGTGAGAACAGTACACAAGGATTTAACTAAAAGCTCACCTGTAATGAATAGCTTTAACAGTTAGACAGAGCCCAACGGAATGTTGCAGCATCCCGAAGATGGGCCATTTAAAATGCCACAAGAGCTCAATCCTGATCAGCCCTACAGCGTGGTGAGACCAGGGGCTCTTGTTCCACCCTGTGCCTTTTTCAGCTGGTGTGTAAGTGGCACGTTCAGCTCTAAAATGGCAGAGGTATCCCCCAGGTAGCATCTAGTTGTGCCCTGAGTTTCTATATCATTGGGGTATGTGTGGGACAGCCAAGGTGAAAGTGAGGCCGGAAGGGCAGGGATGTGGTAACAGTTAAAATAAAAAATGCTCTGTCACAGAGAGCAGCAGCAAGTTCTGTTTCATTCCAGTGAGCAAGCCTGGGTTTTATAGAGGTCTAGCCAATGACTATTAAGGGCCTTCTTCAGTTATCGGGCTTGAAATCCTCCTCTGGTCAAAGCTTGATAGTGCTACATCTTTTCCTGACATATCTTAGGTACCGGGTTTAAATCCTGAGCAGTGTTTCCCACTTGTTGGGTGCGTTCAGACGGGGGATTTACAACGGTTAGGGTGCCGGTTCCAACCGGTGTACTTACGGGCGTTCACACAGCGAACATCTGCCTCCCGTCCCTAACCGTTGTAAATCCCTTTAAACCGTTGCACTCTGCCACTAGGTCCCAACTGGTGGTGAACTGAGTGCAACGGTGCACCCTGGCGTCTGATCGCTCTCCACGTTCCCCAGCTACTTCCGTCGGAAGCCTGAGGCTTCCGGCTTTCCCCCGCCCTTTTTTTTTTAAACCAAGCGATATGCGCTCAGGCGAAGCTTCGCCCTGAGCGTTTGTTAAAATTTAAAAAAACCCTTACTTTAAGTACCCGGAGGAGTCCGGGACTACAGGGAGGCCAGGTTGGGCTTTAAACTTTAAAGGTAAGTCCTTACCTTTAAAGTTTAAATGTAATGGGGGGGGGGGTTGAGCATGCGCAAAAATCGCCGTCTCTGAATGGCTGCCTATGCGCATGCTCAAACTGTCCTTTAAAAAAAAAAAACGCCGACGCCCGCAGCATGTGAGGAAGATCGGGGAATCAAACCCGCAAAATGGAGGGTAAGTGTGATCGCGTTTCTGCCGGCATAAACTGCACCGGTTCCAACCGGTGCAGTTTATGCCGGCAGAAACGCCCCGTCTGAACGCACCCGTTGTGTTACATTGTACTCTAGAGCACTCAAAAGGTGCAGAAAGGGTTTGATTTCCCAAAGGCAAGGTTGAAAAAGGACAGAAACTCAAATGGTACAGCAAAAAAGATGAAGTAGCTCCGTAGCTATGAGACTCGTGAAAGGAAAAAATAGGATTTACTTTAGTAATATATACTTGTAAAACTATGCATCAAAGCAGAGCAGAGGTTAAGTAAGCAAAGCTGACATTAACTGTACTTAAAGGAAAACCCACTAACTGCAACGGTCCCACAGAGGTTACTAACTGCCATTAATTCTCCAAGATGTGAAATCTGGTCTTGCTGAAAAAAAGGTTATGACATGTTTATGTTCCCAGTGTGTTTCTTCTGAGAATTTTTACAGGGGAGTATATTTCCTATTTCTTCTTAAACTTCATGTTATAAACACGTTGGTTTTCTGTATGCTGGAAATTTTAGCACCAGTATAATATTGATTCCTGCCAACCTAGCGGTTCGAAAGCAAGAAATTGCAAGTAGATAAATAGGTACCACTTCGGTGGGAAGGTAACAGCGTTCCGTGCGCCTTGGTGTTTAGTCATGCCGGCCAAATGACCACGGAACCGTCTTCGGACAGCGCTGGCTCTTCGGCTTTGAAACGGAGATGAGCACTGCAACCCTAGAGTCGGATTCGACTGGCTTTCGAGCAAGGGAACCTTTACCTTTACTATAATATTGATAGTGTTGCAGTCAAGAGAAAGTCCCTGTGCGTTCCATTAAAATCAGCAGGACTTCAAAGTTCATTTAAGTTCTCCCTCTGAGGTGGAGGCCATCTTGTGGGTGATTCCCAACCATCTCTTAGGGAGGCAGGAACTTCAAACTGTTTCCTGTTTCCTGTGTTGGGAGTCGCCCTCAACTCAGTTTTCTTCCTGCCTCAGTAGGGAGAGCAGTGAAAATTTGGCTTCGCCTCTACTTTCACTATTTCAGACTGCTTATCTCTTCTCTTCTTTCCTGTTTTACTTCATAATTTTTTACAATCTACCTTCGTTCACTTTCTGTGCTTTTTAAAAAAAATAAAAAATCCCCCCCCTCAACTTTTACTTTGTTTCTTTCTGTGAGACTCCTCTCCCAAAAGCGGCTATGGCACGCAGGGGAGACGTTGATGGCTTTTTATCCTCTGGGGAAATTGATGGGGAAGAAAGCCGAAAAGGTTGCGCAGGGCGAAAAAGAGGCCCGGACGGAAACGATCAACGAGCAGATGCGCATAGCGCGGCCAAACGCACCAAAAGCTCCCACACGCTCCAGGAGTCTCCAAATATGGCGGCGGCCATTTTGTCGGCAAATACTGAGCGACGGAGCCCGGTGCAGGGCAGGGAGCGACCCGAGACTGTATGTCTGAGCGGGTCCGACCTAGCAGCGAGTACTCTGATAGAGGCTGCCCAGGAACATGACGGAGAAGCGGATGGCTCTTCTCACAGAGGTAACGCTGATGACGCCGGTTCGGCTCCCTTGTCCCCCAGAGT